ATGGGTAGGGTGAGGTCTAGGGATCGAACCCTGGGTACTGCATCTGCTACTGCTAAAAGGTGAAAACCATTTCACTCCCGCCGTTCTAAATTCGAGGTCCTCCGAGAAAATTTCAGTCCAAGGCGGGACCTTTACCTTTCTTGTCACGCTCATAGGCTCTGACTATGTCGGGAGCAGTTTCTAGAAGTTCTGCTTTCGTGAACCAGCGGTCGTCTTCCGGTTCCTGATAGGCAAACCGGACTTTATACTGTTTCTGGGGACGACCTCTACCTCCTGTCCTAAACACATCCTCTTCTACAATGCCCTCGATGTCATAGCTCCCATCTATATCCGGTGGGATCATGGACCTCCTGGAAGGGAACTGTTGACTAGTGACACACGGCAGCAGCTTCGAAGCATGGAACACAGGGTATGTGTGGAGGTGTGCTGGAATCTCAATGCTGTAGGACGGTCCATCCTCTCCGCCCTTGACTTCTAGAACCGGCCACGGTCCTCTATATGCAGGCAGTAACTTTTGCGCGATGTTTTCTTCCGGTGCAAACTCTTTTGCTTTGACCCAGACTAAGTCGCCCACCTGAAACTGCGATGGGCGTCGGTGCTTGTTAGCCTGTTCTATCATTCTGTGCTGGGCCTTCCGAAGGTTCTCAACAACAGTGGCTAACACCTTTTCGTGCTGTATCGCAAACTCCCGGGTACCGGGCCGTAATCTGTGAATCTGATCCCGGTTCAGTCCTTCGAACGGTCTGCGCGGTCTAAAGGACTTGTGCAACTCATTGGGAGTGCGGCAGGTGGATAGATGCACGCTGTTGTTGTACGCACTAGAGACCTTGGGCAACATCTCATCCCAGTTGATCTGATCTGGTCTAATATACATGCGCAGAACTTGCTGTAGGATCTTGTTCATCTGTTCTGTCTTACCGTTAGTCTCTGGGTGACGGCCGAACGACATTAACAACTTAGATTCGTAGACTCTCATGAGTTCTTGCCAGTTCTGGCTGGTGAAACGACTATCTCTATCACTAACTATTGACAATGGGATTCCATTCTCACTAACCCAAAAGTCAAAGAACTTCCGTATCACTAAATCTGTACGTGCCTCTGCAGGCAAAGGAACAAAAACTGCATACTTACTAAAACGGTCGACTATGACCATGACTTGGCTCTTACCATGTCTGCCCTTGACTTGCGTGTCCATGAAGTCTATGGACACTGAGTCTCCCGGCTGATCCGGAATARGCAAGGGTCTGAGAAGACCTAGGGGCGCGCGTGTAGTAGATTTGTTTCGCTGGCATACTTTACAACTGCGGACATACTCTATGCAGTCGTTCTTCATCCCTGGCCATGTGTATGCACGCATCAGATTGGCTAACGTCTTTTGCCAACCGAAGTGTCCCTCGGTATCGTGACATTCCCCTAGAATTAGACTACGAATCTCTTCGCTATTGGGAACGCACAGGCGGTCAAACACATTAGTCTTCTCAAACAGCAACCCGTCTGTAGTGCGGTAATCTGGTTCGGTCTCTAGGGCCTCTCTAACTCTCTTTAGGAGGTCGCTATAGATAGGGTCCTGCGTATACGCTTGTTTCACTTTCTCCTGCAGGTCTCTCCCTATATCCAGATAATGTACTACGACTCCAAAGTAGTCTG